TTTTACTGTCATAAAGGACCTAACCATGCAAAAATAAGGAAAACGACATTTCAGAGAGAGGACACAATTAATATGAAGGCCCTTACCAGTATGGCTAAGGCACAGTGAGCAAGAACTGGCGAGGCACAAGGGTAGAGAAGCAGGTAGAGGCCTATGTGAACTGCTTGGGGGAAATCAGGAGTAGAAACAGATTTAAGGGGGAAGAAAACAAGAGTTCTGCTTTGGCTATGTTATATTAAAGATGTCTTTTAGCCATGCGAATAAATATGTCAAGCAGGGTCAGAAGTACGAATCTGGAGTTCAACGAGTGATCAGGGCAGCCAAATGTACATAGACCAAATTCTCGGGCACTGATATTTAGAGGTTTAGAAGTGGAGGAGCCAGCAAAAGAGGTGAGGAGAAGCCAATGAAGTAAAATGAAAACCACGCAAGGGTGGAGTCACAGAGGCATGGAAAGGAAAATTTCAAGAAGGAGGGAGTGGTCAACTGTGTCAAGGCTACTGAGAAGTCATTCAAAATAAGAAGTGACTACTGGACTTGGTGACATGGAGGTGACTTTAACAAGAGCAATTTCAGTGGGGCGGTAGAGGTGGAATGCTGATGCAATGTAGGGGAGATGGTGACTAAGACTGCTCAAGATTTACTGCAAAGGGGAGCAGAGAAATGGGGCAGTAGCTAGAAGAGAATATGGGATTGGGGAAGGTCTTTGTTTTTCATTTTATTTTTCTTAATGGGAAATATTTGTATGTTTACGTGATAATATTCTGGAAGAGGAAAAACTGAAGATGGAGAAGAGAGGAGATACCTGAAAGCAAAAAGTAGGTGAGATCCAGATCACCACTGGAGGGTGGGCCTTAGAAAGAGATTCATGTGGGTAAAGATGCAGGTAAGATGGTAGATATGATAGCGGGAATATGAAGACAGTCTGCTCTGACAGCTTCATGGTCCTCGAGCCATGATGACTGAAATGTGACCAATGGAAAGATTATCAGGGAGAAATGGGAGGTGGAAATATGACCAGGACAGTCATGACTTCAAGCCCCAGTTATGGTGTTTTGCTACGTGTGGCAGACTGTTGGGTGTTTTTTTTCTTTTGGGTGGCCTGGGGTCAAGGCACAAGTTTCAGGAGAAAGATAATAGAGGATACATCTGATAAATGGTAATGACCTCTGTGATTTCAGTCATGATTTCAATTTAGAATATAAAGAACTTTTGGACAGAAACTATATCTCATTCATCATTAAGTCTGTTAACTAATTTTAAGCACACACTTTGGGCTAGGCCTGTGCTGGTCAGCAGAAACAAATTAATAAGGCAAGGGCCCAGCCCACAAGGGCTTAAAGTATTTGAGAAACATTTGCTAAATTTATTTAATTATGTATGAAGTAAAGAATTTGGCCTTGCCCAAAGAGATTTGGCTTTTGTCCCCTATTCCTGGGAAATAACCCATAAATTCTTGGCATTTCCTGAGCGATAGGAGTGTCTTTGTTATTCATGGTGGGAATCTCTCAGATCACACCTGATAGTGTATGATGAGGTGACTCACAGTGGGCCCCTCCAGCCACAATGGTATTAGCTTCACTTCCTGGGAGGGGGGAGTTGGAGACTGAGTTCAAATAGGTGATCAATCAATCAGTGCCTATGAAATAAAACTCCAATAAAAACTCTGAACATGGAAGCTCAGATGAGCTTCCCTGGCTGGTAATCCATCCTGTGTATTGTCATACGTAGATACCAGGAGGGTAGGCAACACGTCCTAAGGACAACAGAAGCTTTGTGTTTGGAACCCTCCCAGACTCTGCCCTATGAATCTTCCTTTGGCTTACTTACTTTTGACTTAAAGCTTTTTCTGTAATACACCTGTGAGTATAATAGTTTTCGGTAAGTTCTGTGAGTCCTTCCCAAGAATTATCAAATGTGAGGGTGGTTTTGAGAACTCTGACCTTTCTGTTAGTGTCAAAAGTGACAGCAGTCTTGTGGAGGGCTGCGTCTTCAGACTTTATGGCTGGGGTGACTCCAGGTTCATGTGACCTTATAGTTCAAAGGGATCCAGACATCATGTAAATTTGGGTACACTCTATAGATGAATAAAGAGAGACCTAGAGATGGGAAGTGACTTACCCAAGGTCACAAAATATTACGGCAGAGTGGGACTAGCCCCTGAGTGTCCTGACTCCCAGCATGATGTGCTTTCCACAATATTCTTTTGCAGCTTCGAATGTGAGGCTGAGCGGAAAAAAATGTATCCTTGAGCCAGACTGGCTTTGCTACATTGGATTTTTGCAGGAGCCCCTATATTTAGGGAGGTTCATTCCTTACTATATTTCCTGACTTGACTTTGATAGATTTCTTTTTAAAATATTTAAGCTGTAATAGTGAATGTTTATAAAATAAGGGGCTTGTACCAAAGAAGAGCTAATGCTTTCTGTGGGGTAGAAACAATATTGTTGTGAATTCTCTTTTAGTTACTGCACTTTTATGTTTCAGAGATCATTTCCATATAATCTCAGTTTTATTCCTAGAAGAGACCTAAGCAATTTTTTGGTTCAACACCCATTTTACATTCGAAGATGCTGAGGTACAGAAATTGTAGGACATCTACCCAAGGTTACCTGGTGATTCAGTGGCAAGAACAAGGCTAAACTCAGGTTTCTTGACTCTTAAGGTAGCCTTCATTTTAGTTCAGAATGACTTCCCTGTAGGAGGCCAAGAGAGTGTTGCATGCATTTACAGAAGTACTTAAGGGCCCCTCACAGGATCCCAGAGCAACCCATTTTTGTTTATCTTATCTGGGCAGTGTCAGGCTCTCTTACTCTGTCATAAATTCTTTAAGCGACTACCAGATGTTCTCTGTATTTCTCATGGTTGAAGGGAAGAAGAGGACTACTTGTCACTCTTCCTCTATTGCAGGAATGAGCAATAATCTGCCAATTCCATTTCTGAGAGAGAGTGTGCACTAAAAGGTAAGGCTAGGACCCAAATATTTTGATTCTATCAGATTTAAAAAATCATAAAGTCGACCACAGGCCTGATTTTTTTTTTTAACCAGGAAAATCTTTTTATTGCCTCTAGTTAAGTACAAAATTTTAAATAATGGGCCTGTATCTCTAACAAGCAATTAAACTTTGTTCTCCTAAGTACTTAGTGTAATTCTCTAGTGACTCTCACTCCTGAAGTACAGGAACAGATTCTTGCACTTGGTCAGAGATCCGATAAAGTATGAACCAGCTACAGAAGGTGTGAAACACCTGCAAGAGCTTATGTATGATAATATCCTGTCACATGAAGCTACTTTCAAATTGGATACCCAAAAAGAGTCAGTCGACATCTATTAGCCCAGAAGTTCCCATTTATCCAACACCAGTAAAGATGAAAGTATTCTACCCAAAGAAATTTTTAGAGCTCAAAAGGTATTTAGATATCATCTCATAGGTGGGAAAGCTGAGATCCAGAGAGGAAACTGACTTACCAATGTCATACTGTTTTATTTTAGTCATTTTCTACAGAAATGTTTTTGTACATTATGTTTCTAGCTTTCTTAAACAGAATATGGAATACTGACTAAAATGTAACCCTTTCTAGACAGCTCAAGTCTATTATTATAATATCAACTATGCTTCTGTGCTATGATTCTGTGATATTCAAATGATGAAAAGACAAATATGGGGGTAATTTGTTTCTATAATAAATAATCTAGACTACTTTAAACTGTTTTTTCCTCTCACTCTCCTTTTTTCTTACTGAAGGATTTTGAGATCTAATTACTTGGCTTCTAACTACGGTATAATCCCAGTGAGACACCACTCTTTAGAAAAGTGAGTTACGATCGCAAAGCCTAAGGTTTTAGGGAACCCATGCCCAGAGGCTGCTTGCTTACATAATAACAATAGGTAACCTTTATTGAGTACTTATGATATACTATGCCATATTTTGATTTTTTTACTTCATTTGATTCTTATAACAACCCTAGAAGATAGCTGCTGTTGTTCAGATCTCTCCTGAGCTAAAATAAAAACCTTGAACAAGGTCACAAAGCCAATAAATGGAGGGTCCGGGATTCAAACTTGGGTAGTTCTTGCTTCAAAGCCCACATTCTGAGTCACTTTCTATTCTACCTCTCTAACTGTTTGAAATAGGATTTTGAAAGGATGATTTCTGAGATATTTTCATTTACAAGTGATAAAACTAGAACCCTAGAAAGGGTAGTAACATCCTCTGAAAGTCACACAGCTAAGAGAAGAGCTAGACTAGGACTCAGTTCTTAGATTGAGAGTTCTTACCACTTCATTATATAAAAGCTCAGTGGAGTTTGGGGATATTTTTGAAAAATGAGATATCTCCTAGATTGGACTAAAGACCTTCAGGCCTAGGGTCCTTGCCTTTCTTTGGCCCATTCTAGAGCCATTGGGGCCTGAGGTTCCACAAAAATTTCAATGTGAATTTCCGACTAGACCTGCAGCTGGGTTACTGTCACTATGAACATGACTAGCCATGAATCACATACTGTAGTCAACCGAAGAAACCTGCCTCCTCTTCCTTAAGAAGGAAAGCAGATTTCTTATTTGAGTTTTACCTCATCACTCTCTCCCAGATTGAGGGAGACTCTCTTCCTCCCTCCAGACCAGCAGATTTCTCAGAAACGTTCTTCTTTCTCTGCAAATGCGGCAGACCCCTTCCAGACAGTGAGAGGTCTGACCCAGCTCTTCCTCTGAGAGCTTCCAGATTAAAAGTAGGAGCATCCCAAGGGAAAATGGGTCTGGTTCCCTGGATACTTCAAGTTTATAGGGAAGAGATTCAGTAGTCTATCTCTGGATAGTGCAGATTGCTAATGACAAGATTCCTATAAGGAGTGGGAAGGAAAGGAAGAGGGAGAAGACTCCATATATCCCATCCAGGCCTATAGGTTTCTGATCTCTTTTCCATCCTAGAGCCACTACAGTCTAGAGCAGTGGGTTTGGTAACAGTTCTTGGCTTTCCTGTGTCTCTTCCTAGCTGCTTACCTGTGGCTGCTGGGTGGTTAAGGGTCTCTGAGGAGACAGGACAGGGGTCCTGGATAGCAGCTGGTTCATCTTGCTGATGACTAGTTCAGTGATGAGTTGTCTGTCCTCCACCTGGTGTTCCCCTATCAGTGGCATACTGCAGTCCATGACCTGGTGGAAGATGTGGCCCAGGTTAGGGAAGGGTCTGGAGACATTAAAGGCCTGGTATAGTCTTTCAGAATGAGTAGGACTTAACCCAGCAGAGATAGATTGGAGACGAAGCTGGTGTTCTTCTCTTCAGCTGGAAGCATGTTCCTTTGCAGAAATAGAACCTTTGTCCTCTCCTCCTCCAAACCTTTGCCTTGGGCCTCCCTCCAATCTTTACCTAGGCCAGTGCTCAGTGAGACTGAAAGACTGGTTGCTGAAGGCAGCGGGGAGAGGTAGACAGCAGGGGAGAGTACAGACCCAGGGCCCAGAGGTTTGCAGGCAGGGGGAGCCGAAACACATGAATGCTAGTTCCTTAACTCTCTGGTTAGGAGCTGGGAGTTCATCTCTGTGACTTTTCACCCACAAAATCTGTATCTCTACACATACTCTGCCCATTAAATGACTAGATTTTTGCCTTTGCTCATGAACTGGGATGACTTCCCTTTTTGCCCCAATCCTGATTCTTCCTAAACCTCAAGGTCCAGATCAATGCTTTCCTATTTTAGAAAGTATCTGTCTACCCAAGATCACAGATTCTGTAGTCCAACTCTCTCATTTATAGATAAGAAAATTGAAGTCCACCCAGACAGGGGAGGAATGACCACATAGATTGCTAAGAAGACCATGGAGTAGATTCTGAAGCCCACGCTGGGCTCCTGACACTAATCTTCTGCAAATACCAACTCCTGGTCTTTCCTGATCCTAGAAAGGGTGGGCAGGAATCTGGGTGAAAGATTCATACTGACACTGACTTTCCCTTTAATACGAGAAAAGGAAGTCAGCAAAGTTGTATTAACAGGGACAGACTGAATAAAGTGTCTCCAAAGCTTAGAGAGATGCTAAGAAGAACCTCCTGTATCCAGGAGATCTGAGTTCTAGCTCAGGTTGAGACACTGATTCACTCTGTGGCCCTGGATACATGTTCATGACATTAGGCCTCAGTTTTTCACCTGCAAAGTGAGTAGATTGAATGATTCTTTTTGAGACCAAGAATAGTAAAAACACTACAGTCTTCCTAGAGGAATGGCATTAGGGCTAGGACCCCAGAAACCCAGGCCTGGTATCTCTTACCCATGGTGTGGGTCAGCATAGTTGGTTGGAAACAAGAGCTCCAACCGGTGGATGTGTTTTGCTATGCGTAGCCACTGGTCATGTCATATGAAAACCTTCCCATGGTCCAGGAGAGTCTAACCTAAATGTAGTCCAGGCTGCACACACAGTTCTCAAGCTAAGAGCTTGGCCTCCAGCTTTGGGGTTTGTCTCTTACTGAGGTACTCCTTGAGCCAGACTTACCTCAAAAATGTAGTCTTTCCCATCTTTGCCATGTACAGCCTTGACAGCACAGATGTCCAGGCCACCAAACATTTCAGAGCAGGTATCTACCCATAGCTTGTACCTGGAGGAGATGGGAAGGTATCCTGAAGCTGGGGTATTAGCTCATACCAAGCTTGCTTGTTGGTCACATTTTCCTTGCTACCTCTGTCGCAACCTTCCCTCCCTCTGCCCCCATCAAACACATTGCCTTATCTTTAGTGCCCTTCTGCTTTGCTTTCCAGATCCTACCCATCTTTCCAGGCTCAGAGCAGGTCTCACCTGCTCTAGGTGAACTTCCTTGGCTATTCCAGCCCACAGTAACTACTCTTTTCTTGGAGCCTTCTATGGGCAGTCTTTATCTCCATAATTTAGCATGTAACCCTGTCCTGATCTTGTTAATGGCTGCTTGGGCTTTTGTGTTCTATCTGTCCTGTCTGATTAGAGGCTCCCCTTGGGCAAGGCTCATTTCTTACACCTCTTTTTCTATGGAAGCCCCTCCTCTTGCTGGGCTGGGGACTGAACTCCTTCTCTCACTCACCTGTCTGACATGGCGATTTGCTCCAGCATTGCAGAGCCAGTGTTTGTCTTCCAGTTCCCTGAGATCGACGTCCTCCTACAACAAGGTCCCACCAAGATGGGACAGGCAATGAGCCACACCAGTAAGAGGAAGGCATGATGAAACTTTCCAGAATTTCAGCTCACCACTGCTTTCCTCACTCCTCCTCCCACAAATAGCCTAGGTGCCTGTCTGCTGAGCCAAGAGCCTGGCTGTCTCTGCCAACTCCACACCTTCAATGCCTTCCTCTTTTCTACAATAGTCCTCTGCTCTGGCTCCATGAAGCCATCTCAACCTTCCAACCATCAGAGTGCTTGCTCTCCTTAGAACCTCTATAGGACTTTGCCTGTACATCACTCACAATCTTACATCTATTTTTTACTTTAGTTATTTGAGCTAAGTCCTTTGTCCACAAGTCTGTAAACCACCTGAAGATATATATTATGTCTTGTATTCCCAGCAGCCTATTCACTTAGTATCTGGACTGACTTGGTACAGTAGTCCTCTATTTTCTGTGTGTGGTTCGCTATCCATGGTTTCAGTTACCTGTGGTCAACTGTGTTCTGAAAATACTGAATGGAAAATTCCATAAATAAACAATTCATACTTTTTTTGTATGCTCTTCTGAGTGGCATGATAAAACCTAGCACTGTCCTGCTCATCCTGCTCAGGATGTGAATCATCCCTTTGTCCAGTATATCCATGTTGCATATGCTCCTCTCCTATCAGTCACTTAGTATTGATTATTAGATCGACTGTCATGGTATCACTGTGCTTTTATTCAAGTAACCCTTATTTTACTTTATAATATCTCATTTACCTCACTTCATCTTATCATATAGGCATTTTATCATCTCACAAAAAGAAGGATGAGTATAAAACAATAAGATATTTTGAGAGAGGAGACCACATTCAAATAACTTTTATTAGAATATATTATTATAATCGTTCTATTTTATTATAGTTATTGTTGTTAATCTTTTACTGTACCTAACTTGTAAATTAAACTTGATCATAGATATGTTTGTATAGGAAAAAACATAGTATATATAGGATTTGGTACTGGTCACAGTTTCAGGCATCCATGGACAAGGGGGGACGGCTGTATATATGAATTGAGTTCTATTGATCCTGAGAACACCCTCAGGGTTCTTGCGACTATCTCCCAGTGGCTTCCACACTAGCTCACTTATTCATTCATTCAACAATTGGTTTCAGAGGGCCTACAGTATTAGTAATGTGATTCTGGACAAGTCAGTTAACCTCTTCAGGCTTAAGTTGCCTCATCCATCAAAGAGAGCTGATGAAATCAAGTCAGCATCCTATTCTCTGCTGTGCCCTCTGCATCCTCCATCCATAAGCATGTGTTAGTCAACCAGTATTGGACTAAATAGGAGGCAGATAACCTGGTTTCTTGTTCTGGATTTGCTCTTGACTGGCTGGGTGATCTTAAGCAAATCACTTCACCTGTCTGAGCCTCTTCTATCCTTGTGTAAACACAAGGTTATCACAGGGACCAACAGTTTTAAATAAACTTCAAAACACCAAAAATATGTCTTTTTAATTATTAGTCTTCACTCAGACACAGTCAAGAAGATGGGGATGGCCAAGGGGACAGAAAAGCCGTGCTCACGCCACTTACAAAGACCTTCATGTGCTGTCCTTGTCACTCACTATTGATTGAAGATTGGACATGCTAGTCTTCACTCAGCAGTTCCCAGGAGTACCCTCCCTAGAGAGCGGTCTTCAGACAGTGAGAAACTTAGCATAGCCAGTATTCCAGAGCCCTCAGGCAGAGTAGCGAATAGACAGATGTGGTAATAACAGCTCCTCACACTTGTATGATACTGCTTTCCAAGGTTTTTCCTCCTCAAGTTCCTCACCAGACCCTCATTGCAACCCCTCTGTTGTGAGTAGACTGGGATTCTTGCCCCCACTTTGCAGACAAGGAGATTAAGACACAGAAAGATTAGATGACTTGTCCGAGATTGTATCTCTAGTCAAAGTAGATATAAGATAAAAATCCAGGCCTCTTGGTTTCCTCATTGTGCTCCACTTTCCTCTACACTCCACTACCCAGCTCAGGAAAAAAAAAAAACAACTGACAGCAGAGTGGCTCGCTAAATCTGAGAGGCAGCACAAAGACGGATCATAATGAAAATAACACTGTCTTCTCAACAGTGGTGTTTTACAGATGTCTCCCTGTGACAAGGCTGGGCTCCTCAAGGACAAAGGCAGAGAGTCACTCACTTCCATGTCCCTAGCACAGTGCCATGGTACATAACAGGGTTCTCAAACCATTATTATTGAGCAATAATAATGTCTTTTACATTTCACACCTTTCTCTAAGAACAGGATGCAGAGCACAGATCCATACAGACTACCTGGGGCATGTGGGAGCACAGGGGACATGGAGAAGCCACTCAGTAACAGCTCAACTGCCTCTCAGGACTCGTAGGACTTCTGACCTCCACGGAAGGACCCATATTATTGCCTAAAGAGAGTGGAGCAGGAACAGCACCTTCTTTCCACCAAATGTGGATGTCTCTGGGTCTCTAGAGTGAGAGCTAGGGGAGAAGGAAAGGATCTCAAACCTTATCTTGGCTATTGCCAAGCCAATTCCTTCTTCTGAGAGCAAGGGGATAGCCAAAAGTTTGGGGAAGAGGAGCTAAGAGTACCTAAACATTCTCCCAAATAACTGACTGTACCTTGAAAATAAAAAAATAAGTAAATGTTTTTCTAAAGCTGCTCTGATCACCCACCCTTAATCAATTGTTGGGGATTCTCTTATGCTTCGTTTAAATTGCTTTCAGAAACTCTAACTCTTAAAAATGTGATGTCTCCTTTTTAAGA